TGCTAAATAATGCTATGCATAAAATAATTTTATATTAGGTCTAAAAATAAGTGTAAATAGTTTTATATAAAAAAGTCTTTTTAGTTTTACTAAGGCCCTAAACAAAGTAGCAACTAAATTATAGTATAGTAAGAATAGACTAAGTAATAGTATAAAAAACTTTTAGTTAGGCTTTATTTAGCTTATTATATATATTAGTATAATTAAGATCTTACTTTATAGCATTATAATTAAGCTGCTTAGCAACTAATAAATTAACAGCTTTCTACACTTAATATTTTTATAGCATAGGCATGTTAAAATTAGAAAGGTTTTTTCTAAATAACTTAAGCATAGCCTAGTTAATTAGCTATAAGCATAAATTTTTTATAAAATTAGTAATACTAGAAAGCAACACTATTTATTCTAAGTAAAAAAGTAGGTTGTTAAATAAATGTTAGAAAAACTTATTTTATAACACTATAAAATTACTTATATTTTTAAAGACTAAGGCCTAGAGAAAGACGTAACATAACTTAAAAGTAAGTGCTAAATGCTAAAGCTTAAAAAATATATACTACTATAATTTATTCTTAACTAAAAAATTAAAAGCTAAATAAGTGTTTTTAAAAGTAAGTTAGATTTAACTATTAACTATATAAAAATATTTAAAACTAATTATGCCTAGAATTTATATAAGAAGCATCTTAAGATAGAAACACTTTTTAGAGAAAAAACTATAAAAGTAAATGTAACTAATAAAGTACTAATTATGTTAGAACTAAGTCTATTTACTACTGTCTTTCCCTAGATTTTAATAATACTAGGTTAAAAAGTTTTAGTAAAAAAGATTACACTTATTTATATAAAGGGCATTATACTTTAACTATTTTATTAATAATAATCTTTTCTATTTAACTATAATCTCTACCTGTTTAGCACTATTCTTGTTATAAAAGGTAACTATATGCTATCTTAGTAAATACACTACTAATTAAATAACAGAAGGCTTCTTCTTATAAACTTTAAACTCTATTAATTGCTAAACAGCTTTAGTTAGTCTAATATAGCGCATGTTTAGATACTAGGTAACTTTATTCTTTTACTAAATATAAATAACAACTTAATTAGTGCCCTTATAAATATACTTATGTATATATTTAACTAACTTTATAAAGGCATAGACTTTTATGTTAACATGTGTGTTGTACTTATATAAAAAGTATAAACTATAAGGCACTACTTAGTAATTATTAACTATAATATCTTAACTATAACACTTTATAACCTAAGTTAAACTAAGTTAACACTAATATATAAAATAACTATCTTTACTAACTAGAGTTTTATTAGTGTATTCCTTTAGGAATTACTTCTAACAGGTTGCTTAGAGAGAATGCTCTGTAGTCTACATACAGAGCATGCTAGGATTTAAGGTTCTACATAGCCTATAAACTATAGTAGTTTTAATAATGTTACTTAAAACTTTATTTAAATCTTAAGCCTTTATAAAAAGCTTAGCTTATATAACTTAATTAATAAAGTTTAAATTAAGAAACTAATTACAGTAATTATAATATAAGAAAAGTAAAATATAAGCATAAAGCAAACTCTACTTCTAGTGCTTAATAGTATACATAATACTAGTATACTAGCTAAATACATAGTTAGTCTAAAAGTCTGCAAGAAGGGAGTTAAGACGCAGCTTAAAAACGTGCGCAACTAGATCTAGCTAATCTAATAGCTAAAAGAACGTACTAATCTCCTGCTCTAACTCTAGCTATTTAAAATTAGTAGTAAAAGTAATAAATAAAGTAAGTTAACTAAGCTTTTAAATAATAGCTATAAAGTTTTAATAACACTATATAATAAAGCAACTACTGCTAATATAACTTAAAAGAAAAATAGTCTAAATTCTAACTAAATTAGCCTAAAAGTTATTTTAATTTAATGTATTACACACTTTTTAATATAGATTAGCATGTAACTATCTCTAATTTACTATAATCTACTATAACTTTTTTTATTTACACTAAGCCTAGTAGTTAATAATAAATTACTAGAATAATAGACTATAATTAAAAGGCATAATAAAACTACTATGCTAGAGAAATAAGTAGAATTAGTAATACTTAGAATTAGTTAGAGTATTTTAGGTGTAAGACATGCGTAAAGTACACAGCTATAAACTATAGTAAAACTTAAAGGTACTTTATAAAAACATTAAAACATAGTAAAAAGGCTAATATGCTGCATATGTATGTTTAATTTTTTAGTATAGAAACTAACAGTGTCTTAAATTAAAGCTAGGTTAGTAGTAAAAAATAAAATTTTAGTTATAATCTTTAACTAGCTTATTATAAACTAGAGTAGTAATTTTTTTAGTAATAAGTAAGTTCTCTTAATGTTAATTAGCCCTAGCCTACATAATTAACTATAGTTATAGATTAAAAGTAATCTATAATTTTTTATTTTACTTATAAGCTTACTATAACTACTTATATATAGTTTTATATATTTTAATCTAAGAATTATTATAATCTATCTTAACTATCTATAGTAGCTGTGTAAGTATAGTTAGATTAAAACTACTATTAGCCTAATGCCCTATACGCGCACTATTAGCCTAGGCAGGATTATAAAAGTACAGCTGTGTGTAGAAAAAGACGTCCCCCTTAGTAGGCTTTAATAGGCTGTGCATATAGTACATCTTTTTTATAATCTAAAAAACTTTTACACTTATGCTACACATACTTTAATTTATTTATTTATAGTTAGCTAATGTAAAAGCTAAGGCTGCGTTATATAATTAAAGATGCTTTTAAAAAGATCTACTAAGTAAGTGCCTACCTTATAAAAGATAACGCAGGAATAGAGGTAGATTTAAAAAGGTTAGAAAGTTAATATCACCTATTAGGCAACATATAGAGTACTAAGAAGAATCTGCCTAACTCTTATTAACCTACTTTTTAGGCTAGTAAAAGGCACTACAGTTAGAACAGCTACTTATAAAATTCTGCATTAGACTAAAGTTAATAAGAGTAATATAGTTTATAGTAGTAATAATATATACCTTTAGTAAATTATTTTATAAAAGACTAGCTTTTAGTTACTTCTAATCTCTATACATAGATAAAAATAGGGCAGGCTAATTTAGAGTGTGTTAAAAGGGTAGAAATTAAACAAGTCTTTATAAGGTTAGCTATATATTATAATAATATATACATATAAACAGTGTAGAAGGAGTAAAAGTTAGTGTAAAGAACTTAGAAAAAGTTAATTATATATTATAATAGATCTAGACAGATAGTGTAAAAAGAGTAAAAAAAAGTGTAAAAGTCTTAAAAGGGTCTTAATATATATAAAATAATTAATTAAGCACTAGCGTTTTACTTAATGCAGTGTTACACTTAGCATGTGCAGGTTAGCCCTAGCATAGACCTAATTAGACTGTAGTAGCGCAAGCTTAAACATGTTTTAAGAGTTATGCATTAAAGTTAACATTAGCTAATAGCTAACACGCCTAGATAAAACTAGATATAAGTTCTAAAGAATATAATAATTATAATAAAGTAATATACTATATAGCTATGTCTGTTACACTAGCAATAAAGAGCTCTAACTTTATTAGTAGGGAAGTTAGAGAGGGGTCTATAGTTATTACAGACTAGGTAGAAAGTAGGCAATAAGTCTATATAGCAATAATATAAAAGAATAACACTGTATAATAGAAAAAAGAGAACAGGTTAAAAAAAAAAGTACTAATTAAAAAAAGTTAAAGTAGATTAAGAATAAATTAACTTTAAGTAAATTAAAATCTTACTTATTAAAATAAGGCGCAGTAAGGCTTATGCTACACTAAATAAATTTATTTTTTTAAAGTTTTTAAAAGTATTACTCTTTCTAAAATAGTGTTTTTATTAAGTTTAGAAAAGAACTTAATTAAGCTAAAAACTTTTAAAAAAAAATTTTATATAAAAAAAAATTTAAGCTATCTAAACTTATTATTCTAAGTAATAAAACGCCTCTAAGCTCTTACCCCCTATATAATAGTTTATAGTATGTAAATATGCTTTTAATTTTAATATAATTAGTATAGCTTTATAGCTTAAAAAAAAATAGTTAAAAGTGTTTTACATTAGGCTAATATTATATTAGGTGTAATCTTAAGGCCTTTATAATCTTTTATAAAGGTTAGTAGATAATATAAAATAACCTAATACACTTATGTACATTGCAGATAGCTATAATATAGTAGCTTACTATAACTTATTATTATTATAAAGTAAGGTTAACTAAGGCTGCAAAGGTATTAAAGCAGATAATGTTTAGTTAGAAAAGATTAGAATAAGTTAGAGTAAATGTAGAGCTAAAGCCTAAAGTCACACTACTGTTTTGCTTAACTAGGGGGAGATCCTCTAGAACCCCCTTTTTGCCTGCAGTAGGCTTTGCTTAGAAGGTCTTAGCAGAGCTAATTACATTTAGCAGGAAAAATTACACTATAGAAGTAATTTTTACACCCCTAACTATGCAGTAGTTAATTATAATAGGAAAAAAAGAAGACTAGATTAAGCATGTAGCATAGCAGAATAATTACTTAAAGCTTAAAAATAAACAGTAACCTAGCTTTTTAGTTACTAATTTTCTACTAATTAAATTAATAGCCGGCTTATATCCGGACTAATAGGAGAGAGGGCTTGGCGGTAGAGATAGTGTAATATTTGATGATGATGATGATTGATGATTTGATTGATTTGATGATTTGATTGATGATGATGATGCTCATTCCAATCGATATCCATCTCCACCGTGGCTCCACACTACCTGCTCTCCAGTCACTTCATCTTGAATCTAACAGGTATGCCGCAGCGTGAGTAAATATATTCTAGTCGTTATCAAGTAAAATACCTTCTTCTTTCTTTAGAGCTTCTAACCCCATCTTCTACATCATTACTTCCTCTTTTAAAAATCACGCCTACCTCTTCGGTCTTATTTCACGTCAAAATCCTCGTTTACGAGTCATGGCAACCATCCAACCAGGCAACATTTACATCGATGTGCGAAACCACTTAGGCAATGACCCCACCAATCCTGACCAGTGTGCCTGCGGTTGGTATATCTATTACTCTAATGGGTGCGGCCACGTGTATGAGGACTACAAGCATGCCTGCGGCGGTACTCGTACAAAGTCTGGGAAGAGTGGATTCTGCAAGAGTCCTGCGCCTCGGCACAATGTGCAAACGAGAATTGCGGGCAATAGTCCTCTCTGTTAGGACCCCAGGTAAGAGAATACTCAGCTATTCCTTTTCACTATGAACGGAGTGTTTGTCTAATAGTGATTAGATTATCCTCTTGCCGCTTGATACTAGTCGCCCAGTCCCTCTATGCAGATCGTTTATTTCCTCCATACCGGTCGTTCATTTCCACTTGTCACTCATTTGGGATCCAGGCTACAGCCTCAAGTCGGGAGTACTCATGTAGGGTTTTAGAATGCGCATTCGGTGAGCTAGCTCGCTTCCACATTCATTTTAAGCAGATACACAAATCGCGTCCTTCAAACCGTTTTGGCCCAGCTTGGTTGGCCTGTTCCGCCGGCTGTTCCGCCGGCGGCACTTCCAGTATGACAACGGCTTTGATTGGACTATATCAATGTTTCTGGAGAAGCTGGAAGCAGAACAGGAGACGTCAGAGGCAAAACAGAGCACGCCGGAAGCAGGACAGGAGTTGAACTGATATTCTCAGCAAAATTTGCAACATACGAACAAAATTCCAACCCCATGCATATATAGTTAACAACCCCTACGCTGCCCTGGCACATTGTTCTTGGTCTTGTCAGTGTGCTACAATTGAGTGCCAATTACTTTCACTCGTTTTGGGGCCAAGACAACTTTCACTCAGATCGCTCCATCGGCGACAGTACTGCCTGTGCTCCAACAAATAGAAGTGATCCTCGGCTAATCAATTCTAGCACCTGACCTGCAAAGTCGTCGGCAGGTGGTTCAACCGTTATGTTATTGCTGCCATCCGACCTATTGAAGGCGATGCGGAAGAGTTGGCTACCAATGCAGCCTCGACCACAACATGCTCGCATGAATGTCCAGCTACCTGGTCATGTTCACGAGGTATTAACTTATTGTTCCATGCGGATTGGTGAATCACCCCTACGGCTTATCATTGAGTCTTCGGTCGAATTGAGCGCCTAGACATGCTGGCACGGATAAGCCACCTGCTTTGACGCCAAATGATGAGCCATCGCAGGGATACCAGGACTCTTGTGTCCATTCAGCTTGCGCAGATGACGCTGTTGTTCCACCATCAGGTCACGCTCTGAAGGCCCGCTGACACTAGCTGTATATACCATGCTCGTTATGCATCATGCGCCGCTCACATCACAATTCAGGCAGCAGGAGGCGCTTGACAGAACGATGTCTCGCGGGTTCTCCTCCCGGTGAGCACGATTTGACTCGCTGCACAGACGATCCGCTAGTTCCTGGCTCTCACAGCCTCCCTCAGTATGGTCAAACTGTCTCTCCATGGCTGCTTCGTTCTCCAATCGGATATCGCCAGCTCGTTACTAGATGCGTCACCAAGGGCTTGTAACTCCTTGAACCTGGCTTTGAGACGACGGCGGATCGCCGGTAATGCGTACCTCCGGCTCGTTTGGGGGTGCTCTGTCAAGCTATTCGTCAGTCTATGAGACGCTCCCTAGAGGTGGCGGCAGATCCTATACTCCTTCATGGTGATGTTTTGTTCTATGTCCCCCTATCGATCCTCGTCCAAGCATCTGAGAATCTGCCTTGCGTGTCCAGTGGCAGCATTCCTCTGAGCAGAGTAGATTAGATCAACCTTACTGTAAAGTTGGTGAGCCTACTGCTACTATTAAGGGGCTTTGGACAATGGTTCGGTAAGCTGATAGTCTATTGATGCAGAGTCTCTGCAACTCTGCAACTCGAGATGTGGATAAAGTTAGATATTCAGAATCTTTGAAGTCTGTTTCATCCGTTTGACTGAATAGTGGGTCTATACAAGTTTATACGCGAAAATTACAAAGATTATTACCAGTACCAGTCACTGAATATGTGTATTTGATTATATGAATCGTCTTGAGGACTGTGGATAAAAGGAAAGTGTTGCCGGTGCAGGGGTCAAAGGGCTGAGCCACGGAAGATTGTGGCCCGAAAATGGGACCAGTCAGCCTTTGACACCTCACATCCCTACGAGCTGATTGGGGCCCAATTTCAGGCCCTCTTCATGCTGCTCAGGGAGGAAATCAGGCACGATCACGCTGGCTCATGTTGGCTCACGGCGAGCTCAGGCACGAATCAGGTACAATCACGCTAGCTCGCGTCGGCTCATGGCGAGCTCAGGCTTGCTCAGCCACCTCTCAAGCTGCTTACTCACTACTCACGTTATACCCCTGCGTAACTCAAGATCAGATCCGGAAAAAGCTTTGCGTGAGAGTAGATTTCACTTGATTGTTATCTGCTATCTGTCCGCTGAAAGACGCCTTTAACCATGTACGGTTTGCTTCCAGTGACTTTTAGAGCAGTAGCGGGCCGTATGGAAGGTGTGAGATGTTGCGGATAAAGGTTGTATGATTATGCAGCTATGTGAGGAGCTGATGAAGTGAAGTAAATTGTGTTGTATAAGTGCTTAGCTACAGAGTATTTATTTACATCTATAACAGCCGAGGCAGTAACAGACACAGCAATAGCAGTAAAGGCTATAGTAGAGGCAGCAGAGTGTAGCAATTGGCTTGAATTGTTCCATTCAAAGTTACCTGACAAACCTATATCCAAAGGTTCGGCGTATCTGCCCTGACCCTGCCCTACCCCTATCTCCAAGTATTTAGTGGCACCTCTCCTCTTAGCTAGCTTAGTAGTTTTCTAATATCCTTTTGTACAAGGCCTATAGGTGTTAATAGAATTCCTAGGTTTCTAAGTCCCCACGCACTACTATATGCCTCTAAGTGGATTCATGCCGTATTTAAACCTATTGTCTTGCCTGCGCCGTTACAGCCTGCAAGGCCTATAATCTACTATGTATATATAAACCTAACTCTAAACAACTGTTAAAAGTTGTTGTTATTCTTTACATTAGATAAAATAGTACTTACTTAAGAACTTATACATCTTTTACTTCTTTAAAGATTAGTTCTACTCCTTGCCTATACCTAGGAATAAGAACAAACTATGTTGCTGCATCTATAGACTACACGTAAGCTTGTAAGGACTGTATATAGCTGTAGCATATTACTTTAAAAGTGATACGTTTTATTTAAAAGCCTAAAGTGTAAGCTATATCTAACATTCTTTTAGCATGTCTAAGTAGTGTTATTAGAAATACATTAGTATAAAAAGAGTAGTTTAGTAAAAGTAAGTAACTTAGGTGTGTAAGCAACTCTTCTTTAGTGTATATTAAAGACTAGTACTAACATAATTAAACTTTTACTAGAATGTATTTGTTTTTTAGCTAGCCTTTTTATTCTACACTTTTTAATGCTTCTACTTAACATACTCAACAGGCGAGTTGCTTGCACAACTAAGTTGCTTACTTTACTAAGACTCTACTAAACTACTCTTTTTATACTAATACATTTCTACCAATACTACTTAGACATGCTGTCGCGTACAGCTATCCGTATATATATCCTTCTGCTGTGCTAGCTGAGAGGTTGACTTTTTGGCAAACGCAACAGTTATGAGCCTAGTTTGCGGCGTAGTGTAGATAGTGTAACGGCGCAGGCAAGACAATGGGTCCGAATGCGGTGTGAATCCACTCAGAGGCATATGGGAGTGCGTGGGGACTCTGAACCTGGGAATGCCATTGACACCTATAGGCCTTGTACGAAAGGATATCAGAAAACTACCGAGCTAGCTACGGGGCGAGGTGCGACTAAATACATGAGGGAATAGGGGTAACAGCAGGGGGCAGGGCAGAGTCGGGGCCAGGTCGAGTCAGGGTCGAGCCAGGGTCGGAGCCGATACGGAGACCCTTCGGATGGGTTCCAGGCGACCTGAGATGGAACGAGAATCGTTACAGATAGTTAGCGCTTAAAAATTTGCGCACCCCTGCTTTACTAATAGAATTGCATTATCCTAGAGCACTGTGTGTTTAATTCCTACGCTTAGCAAAGAGTATTTAGGCAGTGTGTCTATTACAGAGGCTACCTTACTAGATCTATCTCTAAGTTCTGTTGCTTAGGCTAGGGAGAGTGTGTTAAGGTTGTTTCACCATGTTTTACCTCTCTCGTTCCACGGTTCGAGCTGGGGGGTGTGTCGCGTACAGCTATCCGTATATATATCCTTCTGCTGTGCTAGCTAGGAGGTTGACCTTTTAGCAAACGCAACACATGCTAAAAGAATATTAGATATAGCTTATACTTTAAGCTTTTAAATAAAACATAACACACTTAAAGCTACATGCTACAGCTATGTATAAAGTTTTTTAAAAAATAATAAATAACTAATATAATAAATAACTTTTATAAGCTAATTTTATAGCTAACTTATAAAAGCTAAGTAATAATAAAAAGTAGGTAATTATTAAGCATATACTTAAGTTATATATATAAGAATTTTTCCTTTAGCTAGTAGCTATAGCTAATATAGCTAATTCTTTGCACACTAAGTATAATTTAGGCTATGTTACTATAAACTAGCTTAGTATGTTTATTAAAAGTTATTTAAAGCTTAAAGTAAAGTTTTAAGTATAAGTGTAGTTAGTAAATATCTAGTTTATTATAAAGCTTATTTTATTAAAGTTATATATATTATTATTTTAAATGCTATGCTGTTACAGTCTACAAGTAGACTAGTTAGAATCCTAGCAATAGGCTCTACTGCCTAAACAACTAAGTTTAGGACCCTCTTAGGCTCAAACAGGAAGAACTAGCTCTGCTAGACAATAACCTAGGACAGCAGCTATACAAGAAACCTAATAGTTATACAGCACAGCTGTAAAACTTAGTGTAACGATTCTACGAATCGTTCCATCTCGGGTCGCTCGGATCCTATCCAAAGGGTCCCTGTATCGGCCCCGACCATGAGTCGACCTAGTCCCCTGCAGTTACCCCTATTCCCTTATGTATTTAGTCGCACCTTGCCCCTGTAGCTAGCTTAGTAGTTTTCTAATATCCTTTTGTACAAGGCCTATAGGTGATAATAGCATTCCTAGGTTTAGAGTCCCTACGCACTTCTATATGCCTCTAAGTAGATTCCTACTGCATTTAGACCTATTATCTTGCCTGTACTGTTACATTATATTAGAAAAC